CCTTGCTTGATAGGTGGTGATGGAAGGACGAAAAACAAATTTGAGAGAGGGAATTTCACACATGTATTCACCTAAAAATAGTTTTACCACTGTGCTCAAATTTGATTTGATATTATGCATTATTTTATGGGCCCTTGCTATTTGATAATGAAAGGTAATTTTTTTTTTGTAAGATAGTGTGAAATCCATCTAAAAGTTGGAATTAGATTTTTTCAATAATAAGCCACTACTAGAATTTACTCACCCTTCTTCCTAGCACAAATATGTCAAAATATTTGAAAAGGTGTGCCTATAAAAATGATTAAATACTCCAAGGATTTTAAGTTTTAAGTCTTAATTCAAATAATAAGACTAAACCTAATTTGAATTGAGTTATACGATGCTAAGACCTCACACTAAAGTTTAATTAAAATATCTAACTTAGAGAAAAATTGAAGCTCAAAATTTTAAAAAAATCTTACTTGACTCGATATATTAATTCTCTACCAGAAAAGTAATAACGATAAAAGAAAAAAAGAGAAAAACAAAAGAAAAAAAAAGAAAGAAAAGAGACAAAGCAAAGGAACCCTTCAACAAGGAGCTAGCTTAAAAAAGGAAAAAGGATTATAAAATATATAGGATAAGAAGCTTTAGGTTAAGCAAAATATTATTTCAACCTTTAGGTTTAGCTCACTTCCCTAATTTAGATAATTTTAATCACATTCTTAAAGGGAGTCAAGGATCCTGTAAACCATGAAAAAAATTAAGGGACTGCTGGTTGTTTAAACAAGAGTTGAGTTTATTAAAACCATCTTAGATTAATGAAAAGATCACTGGATTAAGTGAATTGAGAATTATTATACTAAGAAAAATGTAAATAAAGAAAATTATAGGTGATTATATTAAAGATTCGCAAAAAAATCCCGCTACAGATGGAAATCACAAGCTTAGCAGATTCTCCCTTGACATTATTGAAAAGTAAAGACACCCCACAAGATTATGCCAATCTGATTCTCCAAATTATAGTTTAAGTGATAGGATTACTTAAGAACAAACAATGGGTACGTTTTGGGGATTTGATGTGAATAAAATATTTTATAAATTTCTAGCATGTTTTATACGTATTTTATGCTATTATGACGTGTGAGAAAGATATTTTTGTCATTTTGTGGAGTGAAAAAAAGATAATTTGGAAAAAAAATATGAAACATTTAGGTAAGCACACCCTCGCCCAGGGTGGGGCGTGTCAACACCAGGTTACCATGAGAAACATTCTTGCGCTCAGACAGAATGCGCCCGCACCACAACCTAGTTTGGCTGTCACACAAGACAATGCACATGACATAACCGTGCCACATATAGGGTGCAACTGCAACGAATTATGGTTCCCCCATGTCGAAAAGGTAGCACATACATGCTATCATCATGACCAACTACCAGTGCCCCCATGCCCGCCTCACAGTGCACCTGTGCCTAGCTTGCATATGGGTAGTGTGCCTGTGCCCGTTACCCGGGCACCCACGATCAACACAAAATTCAATTTTGAAAGGATTTATTACCTTTGTGGTGCCAACTATATAAATACATCTCTTAAAATGATGAGAAGTATCTTTTGACGGCTGGAAGTTAGGGTTTGCAACAGAGAGGAGTTCTTGTGACGAACTAGCAGTTCCTCTCCTTCTTCCTTGAGGGAGAAAGCTTATAAGAAATTTTTCTTATTTTCTTTGAAGGGATCTTATATAAGAGAGGGATTAGTTGCTATTATGGAGAGAAAAAGTTATGGTTGTAGTTTTTACGTATTTTGCTTGTATTAATTATTTCAATGGATTTATTTTCGTTGTTTCTTTCCATATTAAGTAGTTAAAATTTTTTTTGTGCCTCTATGATGTAAGGATACTAGCTCTTTTGTGGATTTCCTTGCATGTATTCTTGATAATAATTTTTTATGTTTCATGTATTCAAGTTGTTGAGTTAATCTTCCGATATTTCTTTACTCCTGATCTGACCAATTAGGCTGTTAAAATTTTTTCATGAACTATGATTCCTGCCCTTTGCGTTGTGGAATGAGTATGTTGGCCATAGTAACCAAGTGAATTTGAAATATTTTCATTAGGGTTTTGTAACCTACATAAGGGATCTAAGGAGTCTTGGGAAACTTTGTGTGGTTACGTGCCCTGTAACTATATAACGATTTCCACTCTTCTTATGACCTATGCATAGGCTAAGGAGAAAACTTTCATCTCTAGTTAACAACTATCACGTAGGAGAACATTTAAGAAAACTAAGAACTTACACTACATCTGAGTTACAGAGGCACGAGTCTCATCCCTTTTAAAGAACACTAAGAATCTTTCTTTTGGTTTTCGAGATCTTGCTTTTGCTAAGACCTCACACTAAAGTTTAATTAAAATATCCAACTTAGAGAAAAATTGAAGCTCAAAATTTAAAAAAAATCTTACTTAACTAGATATATTAATTATCTACCAGAAAAGTAATAAAGATAAAAGAAAAAAAGAGAAAAACAAAAGTGCTAAGACCTCACACTAAAGTTTAATTAAAATATCTAACTTAGAGAAAAATTGAAGCTCAAAATTTTAAAAAAATCTTACTTGACTCGATATATTAATTCTCTACCAGAAAAGTAATAACGATAAAAGAAAAAAAGAGAAAAACAAAAGGAAAAAAAAAGAAAGAAAAGAGACAAAGCAAAGGAACCCTTCAACAAGGAGCTAGCTTAAAAAAGGAAAAAGGATTATAAAATATATAGGATAAGAAGCTTTAGGTTAAGCAAAATATTATTTCAACCTTTAGGTTTAGCTCACTTCCCTAATTTAGATAATTTTAATCACATTCTTAATGGGAGTCAAGGATCCTGTAAACCACAAAAAAAATTAAGGGACTGCTGGTTGTTTGAACAAGAGTTGAGTTTATTAAAACCATCTTAGATTAATGAAAAGATCACTGGATTAAGTGAATTGAGAATTATTATACTAAGAAAAATGTAAATAAAGAAAATTATAGGTGATTATATTAAAGATTCGCAAAAAAATCCCGCTACAGATGGAAATCACAAGCTTAGCAGATTCTCCCTTGACATTATTGAAAAGTAAAGACACCCCACAAGATTATGCCAATCTGATTCTCCAAATTATAGTTTAAGTGATAGGATTACTTAAGAACAAACAATGGGTACGTTTTGGGGATTTGATGTGAATAAAATATGTTATAAATTTCTAGCATGTTTTATACGTATTTTATGCTATTATGACGTGTGAGAAAGATATTTTTGTCATTTTGTGGAGTGAAAAAAAGATAATTTGAAAAAAAATATGAAACATTTAGGTAAGCACACCCTCGCTCAGGGTGGGGCGTGCCAGCATCAGGTTACCATGAGAAGCATTCTTGCGCTCAGACAGAATGCACCTGCACCACAACCTAGTTTGGCTGTCACACAAGACAATGCACATGACATAACCGTGCCACATATAGGGTGCAACTGCAACGAATTATGGTTCCCCCATGTCGAAAAGGTAGCACATACATGCTATCATCATGACCAACTACCAGTGCCCCCATGCCCGCCTCACAGTGCACCTGTGCCTAGCTTGCATATGGGTAGTGTGCCTGTGCCCGTTACCCGGGCACCCACGATCAACACAAAATTCAATTTTGAAAGGATTTATTACCTTTGTGGTGCCAACTATATAAATACATCTCTTAAAATGATGAGAAGTATCTTTTGACGGCTGGAAGTTAGGGTTTGCAACAGAGAGGAGTTCTTGTGACGAACTAGCAGTTCCTCTCCTTCTTCCTTGAGGGAGAAAGCTTATAAGAAATTTTTCTTATTTTCTTTGAAGGGATCTTATATAAGAGAGGGATTAGTTGCTATTATGAAGAGAAAAAGTTATGGTTGTAGTTTTTACTTTAGTATTTTGCTTGTATTAATGGTTTCAATGGATTTATTTTCGTTTTTTTCTTTCCATATTAAGTAGTTAAATTTTTTTTTGTGCCTCTATGATGTAGGGATAGTAGCTCTTTTGTGGATTTCCTTGCATGTGTTCCTGATAATAATTTTTTGTGTTTCATGTATTCAAGTTGTTGAGTTAATCTTCCGATATTTCTTTACTCCTGATCTGACCAATTAGGCTGTTAAAATTTTTTCATGAACTATGATTCCTGCCCTTTGCGTTGTGGAATGAGTATGTTGGCCATAGTAACCAAGTGAATTTGACATATTTTCATTAGGGTTTTGTAACCTACATAAGGGATCTAAGGAGCCTTGGGAAACTTTGTGTGGTTACGTGCCCTGTAACTATATAACGATTTCCACTCTTCTTATGACCTGTGCATAGGCTAAGGAGAAAACTTTCATCTCTAGTTAACAACTATCAGGTAGGAGAACATTTAAGAAAACTAAGAACTTACACTACATCTGAGTTACAGAGGCACGAGTCTCATCCCTTTTAAAGAACACTAAGAATCTTTCTTTTGGTTTTCGAGATCTTGCTTTTTGCTTACAATTATCAGATTGTATTTCTGTTCTTATGATCATGCTAAACTAGGTTTTCTAAGGTTAAAACTAGATATTCACCTGCTAGAATCGTTCTTAGCCCTTTTCTCACGAGATCAACATGTGGACTCATTAACCTGATATTACTTGACGCACATGCTTTACCACTTGCCTCGTGATAACTTTTCGTCTATTTAGTACAAACACTATATTCATTCCTAAATATACCGAATAAATAATTTCACTTATATTCATAAAGGATGAATGAAGAGAAATGATTGTTTTGAAATATTATGACAAATTGATTCATTCGAAAAGAGAGAGTATTTAGAAAGAAAGACTTAAGAGATGTTCTTATAATAAATTTTAATGAAATTTTTAGCCAAAATTCTGTGTACTTATTAAAGATTCCTGATATTTTAATTTAAGATAACTTTTTAAATATATTTTTGATAAAATAAATAATTAGAATATTTGATCAATTTGCCTCTAGGATTGTTCCACACGTGTGAACCCGTCACCACGCTCGAGATCTCCCTGGAGAACCCATGTTAGCTCGGGCTGTGCGGCCCCATCTTCATTTTCTCTGTTCCGATCAAAGCCACAGTTCTTCCAATCCCCGCGACCAGCGAGCACTTCGGATCCCGGCAAAGGACCCCCTTTTTGTTTCAATTTTTTTAGCCGATGTAACTTGTCTGCGGTTTTGCTTCAGCCATCTACCTTCTTCTGCTCTATCAGCTCGATTTCTAGGTTTTTCATGAACTTTCTGTTGTAGATACCCGAAATGAAGCTCGACACAAGCGGCTTCGAAGCTTTGGCCCAGCCCAGCAGAGAACTCGATGTTCTGGCATGCGAATTCAGGAGCTCACCTGCGTTTGATCTCCCTAGCTGCACTGATGTGAGTTTGTAATCGTTTGTCCATGTTTTTGATTCGAAGGGGGGCAGCACAGAGTTATTTAGGAGGTCTTCCTTTTTTTGTCCCCTTTTCGAAGAGGTTAACCGGCTACCTTTGTTTCTACAGTTTGATGGGTTTCAGAAGAACGCCTTACAGATGGTGAAGCCGGCAAAGGGAACGACTACTCTTGCATTTATATTCAAAGAAGGCGTCATTGTGGCTGCCGATTCCCGAGCCAGCATGGGAGGATATATCTGTAAGTCGTAGAAACGAACTGTTTTACAGGTTTTTAAATCGTTTTATTTTATTAAAAAGAACTTTCTTTGATTTCGCTTGACGTGGCATTTGGGAACATTATCCATGACCAAGCTCTCAAATAAGTTGATTTGGCATTGTTGTTTCAAATGTCACTATGATAAACTCAAGAACTTGAATTGGTTTTAGCATATCCCGCTCTTTCTTTAATGTCTCATTCTGAATATTATATCAGTTATATCCTAAAATTAGGAAGTATAGAAGGTCAACTATAAAGTTTCATCCCATGCTACATGATCTATATTCAACTAGCATTGTTATTATTTGTTTAATTGAAAATTTCATCTATTGCTCCTATTCTGATTTTGGTTCACCTTATAAATTATAATTATTATATAAACCAAATTAGATTGTAATTAATAAGAAAATTTTTGGCTTTTACTTTGTGAGGGTTAGGTTATTAAAACTTAGGGTTCCATACTTTTTGCATTGGCATTAATGTTTAAATTTAACTTCATGACTTCCCTTTAGATCAACATTATATATTAATTCCATTAAGTGGTTAATATTTTTGTATTCATTTATATTAATATTTTGAAAGTACCAATCTGGTGGGGGAGCTCTTGGTGAAATCAATAATACGAGCTTTGTAGCATTTAGCAATGAAATAGTAAAGGATGGTCAAATTTGATTAGAAGGGATGAATTGGGAGTAAGTGTCTCTTAATATTTATTGGGAAAAAGAGTTAACTTTAGTTTAGTTTTGCAAGTTAATGGTAGCACGTGTTGCACACTAGAATGGTTCATCAAAGAATGCATTAATGTAAGGAGGTTATGAAATTATTATGATTATTCTTATTAATATGAAACCAACTATATCAACAATACTAGGATTGGTTATAGATGTAGGATTTGAAATCTCAACATTAAGCTCAATTATCCATTGATCTTCGTGGGATTAAATCATTCAACCAACAACTAGTGTAAGAGTAATGGTTAGAAGATCTTAAAACATAGAAGGTTTTCTGTATGGAATCAAAACAAGCCTTTAGACAAATGTTTGGGACTGTTCTAGAACAATAATAGACCTTCCCTTTGATATCACTTTTGCAATAATACATAAATTTAGTCACTTTTGTTTTTACAACTCAAATTTTTTTGACAAGAATCCGTGAAATAGTTTTTCCCCTTGCTTTTTTGTGTCTTTTCTAGCACTTCATAATTTTGTTAGAAAATCAAAGTAAATGCTTCATACTAGTGTCTTTCCAAGCACCATCTATTAGTACTTTTGATGTCAGATAATAAAATCGCAAAATAAAGATAATGAAATGCTAAGCTTAAATTTGTGTCATGCTTGATACTTTCATTACTTGTCATTCTAGAAACATTTAGAATTGTACTTTTTCTTACGATTTTTTATGATTCTATCAAACAGGCATGACATTAAGTAATAAGTTTCAAGTGTTCTAAAACTTATACTCGTAACCATTATCACTATTGAAACACATAAAATTAGAAATAGAGTCAATTTTATCAATATCTTTGGCTATTTGGTCAAAGAGTTTTTATTTTTTTCCCTGCCTTCAGCTTTACTATAATGATTTGCCCTAAAATATTTGCTCATTTGAGATATGTTAGACTTTTGTTTCACATAAAACTTCACACAATAATTACATTTCCACTTCTGAATGACTGATATTTCAGTGAGTGGTTACATATCTCTGATCTTTGTCTTTTACCTTTCTTATCCTTATTTGTAGCAATTTTACCGACACTCTCAGTAGGAGTTGGTGCTATATCAATATTAGGCTCACTTGTAGAACTCTTGGATTTACTTTGAGATTGACTAGTCATTGCTTCTACAAAAAATTACAACATTAAGCTATAAATAACCAACAAATATATCATAAATAAAGCTCAATATATTCAAAAACCATAGAACATTGTAACAATTAAAATCATCATGCGTGGTGTAATCATTAGAACCATGCACATAACATGTGCATATTGTAATAGATCTAAGTGTTATGCATGTAAAAAAAAGTTTAGTTGTTAAATATGTAAATACATAAGAATTATGTGGAATGTATGTAAATGCCCATTAATATTTTTGATCCCACATGGTCTCATGTAGCCGTCAAGCCTAGCTGACCTCTTTCTTTGAGGAGATTACTAAATTAAAAGACATAAATAGCAAAGTTTACATGTTAAACATATAAAGAAATGTTTACATACATACCACACAATTCCTATGTAATTAATTACATATTTATCACCTAAACTTTAATTTTTATATACATACCCGGATGTGAAAAGTGAAGGGTTGCGTTAAGTAGTCGACAAACAACATAAAATTTGTCGAAAAAATCATGATATGAATCATTTTGATTATTGTGTTAGTGTTAGGGCGTCCCCTGTAAGCGACGCGCTATATGATCTGAATACAGTGAAAAGTATGCAAGAGTCGTTATACCGACACCCGAGTGTAGTGTCAAATAAGCAACGGTTCTCACATTACGGACGAATGTAGGTAAATAATTTATTCCTTGAAACTAATGAAACTAATCTTAGGATAGGTACTTGGAATATATGTACTCACAATGGTAAATTAATGAAATTAGTTGATATTATGATTCATAGAAAAATTAATATCTTATGTATTCATAAAGCTAAATGGTTGGAGAAAAAACTAAAGAGATTTATAACCTAGGTTTTAAACTTTGGTTTTCTGCTAAGAGTCGTGCTAGAAATGGTGTATGTGCGGAAAAGGTGTAAGTGTAATTATATAAAAAAGTTTAAAAGAGAATATTGTAAAAATTAATAGAGTTGGAGATATAATTATAATCCTTAAGATTATTATTGATATTAAGATTTTTAATATTTTACGTACTTATGCTCCTCAAGTAGGTTTAGATATAGGGTCTAAAGATAAATTCTGGAATGACTTAGAAGACTTAATATAAATAATGCCTTTTAATGATACCTCTTGAAGAAGAAAGAATTTTTATTTGAGGTTTAAATGGACACGTCGGTAGAGTGGTTGTCGGTAGAGTGGTTGAAGATTTCAGAAATATTCATGGTGGCTACGGTTTTGGAGTGACTAATGAAGAATGTAAAACCATTTGGAAGGTAAAACCATTTGTGATTTTGCTTTAGCGTATGATTTTGTTATTACTAATATTTTATTGAGGAAAAGAGGTAAGTATCTTATTACTTATAAGAATAGATCTTATAAAACACAAATTGATTATTTTTTTATGAGAAGAAGAGATCGTCGTGATTGTAAAGATTGTAAGGTCATTTTGTGCGAAGATTTAACTACCCAACGTCGATTATTAGTTCTAGATTTTATGATGAAGAGTTATAAAATAGAGAATGTTAGGACTCATCATCGTAAAAATAGATGGAACCTAAAAGACACAAATAAAATTATTTTTTTGAGTAAATTTCAAGGTTTTAAAATTTGGGATATTCATGAAGAAGAAAATGCTATGTGGGATAAATTAGCAAACATTATTAAAAAAGTAACAAAAGATTTATCAAAATAAAAAGTTTTTATAAATAAAAATAGTTGGTGAAGAAATAATAATGCGCAAGAGAGGATAATATATAAGAAGTTATGTTATAAAAATTGATTTAAATATAAAAGTTTAGATAATTGAAAAAATATCAAATGACCCACAGAGAGTCTAAAAGAAAAATTTGTAACGCTAAAAATTTTGCTTTTAGTGATTTTTATAATAGATTAGATACTAAGGAGGGTGAAAAATATATGTATAAACTAGCCAAACAAAAAGACAATAAAAGTAAAGATTTAACTCAAGTAAAGTATATTAAAGATGAAAATTAAAAATTGCTTTTCTTAGAAAAAAGTTTCAAAATAGGTGAGTGAGTTATTTTGATAAATTCTTTAATGAGGTTTTTGAAAATACGATCGACCTTAGTGATCTTAATATCGTTAATAATAATAAAATGTTTTATTTTTTACCGTCACATTAGTAAAAAAGAAGTCAAGGAGGTTTTAAAGAAAACTAATGGTGTCATACTTTAAAATTATGGGAGAGGGTAATTGAACATAGGTTAAGACGTATTACAAAGATTTATCATAATAAATTTGGATTTATGCCGGGCAGGTCTACTATGGAAGCCATACATTTATTGAGAGGTTTGATGGAGAAGTTCAGAGATAATAAGGAGGATCTACATTTGATTTTTATTGATTTAGAAAAAAGCTTACGGTAAGGTTCCAAGAGATATCCTTTGGAGAGTTCTTGAGAAGAAAGGTGTTGATATGAATTATATTCAATTCATAAAGATATGTATGCTAGAGCTATTACTTGTGTTCGAACTGAAGGAGGATTGACCAAATATTTTCTTATTTCTGTTGGATTACATCAGGTATCGGTTTTAAGCCTATATCTTTTTGCTTTAGTTATGGATGGTCTTACTGGACATTTACAAGAAGGTTTACTTGGTGTATGCTTTTTGCTGATGATATCATTCTCGTGGATAAGACGAAAGAAAGAGCCCAGGAAAACTTGAATTATGGAGGTCTACATTGGAGTCTAAAGGCCTTTATTTGAGCAGAACTAAAACTAAATATATTGAATGTAATTTTAGTAGTAGTAGCTCTATGAATGATTTAGATATCTCGGGTCTGTTGTTCAAAGCGAGGGTGATATAAATGGGGATGTTGATGGTAGAATTAAAGTTTGTTGGTTGAAGTGGAGGAATGCTTCAGGCCTTTTGTGTGATAAAAAAGTTCCTCTTAGACTGAAAAGAAAATTTTATAAGATGGTGGTGAGACCTGCAATGCTCTATGACGCTGAATGCTGGTCTTTAAAAGAGAAACATAATACCAAGTTAAGCGCTGCCGAGATAAGAATGATTAGGTGGATGGGTGACTTTACACTTAGAGATTTACACTTAGAGATAAAATGAAATGAGAAATAAATATATCCGTGATAGGGTTGGCGTAGCTCCAGTGACACACAAAATCAGA